TTTCCCTATAGCAGCAGGTAATAAAATTAAAGTGAGTGTGATAAAAAGCTGAAGAACTTTATAATCATCATATTTCTTCTCTTCAGTAATGCCCACTTATATCAAGACAGCAGCTTCCAGAAAACAAACGTCTGGAAGCAGCCTGCTTCTCAAAGTGATTCTCACTTTTGGCAGCACACTCTCCTCCACTTCTGCAACTGGGCCATCTCAGCATCAAATCTAATTACAAACGTTTCACAGACATTGGATGTTTCTACACAGATTATGCCTAGATAATTATGCAATTTATTTTCTTTACTTATCCTAGATCTTGGCAGGAAGAGAAAAGTAACAGTTGTCTGAGCTAACAGCAGGCTCATTAGATGGTGAAATGATGCCAAATCAAATATTTTATTGAGGGGGTGGGGAAAGCAAAAAACCAAAGACTTCTACTTCCTCAGTGCCTCAGAACTGTGAAAATAATTTTATGCTATCATCTTAATTTAGGACGTAATTTCCTACAACCTATATGTAAAGAAAGAGAACCAGAGAATTTAGATTACTATAAACAGTTGAAATCACAAAAGCTGCCCAGAAGAATGAATATTATGAATGGTTTTCTAGCAGTAACAAAAAACAATAACATAATCTGACAATATTTTTGTTGTAATCTTCTAAATCTTGAAAGAAAAAAGAATTGTGCTAACAATTAAATTGATAAATTCATCTTCTACTAAAACATGAATGGAAGAGGTTAACACAACATCCCATTCATTTGTAAACAAGTTCCTCTGTGTGACTAAATACAACAGCCCTACATAATGCCTTGACTTTGTGATATCTCACAAGCTGCCCTTTACGATCCTTTAATTCAGTCCTATAATCAGAAATTTTGTTGCTTGGCTAAATAACATATAATTGAGCTGTGTTAAGATAACATTCACTCATTCATACTCATAAGTCATACATTACCTCTCGCCCAACATAGGAGTTATTACTTTCAAACACAATGGCAGTATAATGATGGCTGTTCTTGTCAAAAAGAGAAGGAATATCACTGGACCTTTTAAGAAAAGAAAAGCTATTTAGCACAGGTAGAATGCAATACACCCATTGTTATTGATGGAACTTCCTTTTACAATGTCATAGCAGGACTGATAATAAGAAAAAAAGCTTACTTCATCTTTAAGAGGACCTTCTACATTTAATTTAAATAACACAGTAAGCATACCCCAGCTGTATTTCAAACAAGGAACTTACGAAACCGGATCCAATGGTGGGCAAGCAGGCGGTCTCAACTCTTGGGAATGGTTCTGTAAGAAGTCAATCATCATCTGACGAACTGTTTGCAGCTCTCGATCTGCTCCTGCTGAGTACAGGTTACAAAAAAAATACAACACTTCAGAAAACCAGGGAAAAATTACTCACATGCAGGTTTTCATACATTCTCATGCTTTTCTGTGTCAGTTTTTTGTTTTAAATTTGGACTTAAAACCAGAATGCAATTTGGCTGAAGAACAGGGACTACAGATTTAGTTGTAGGATTTCATCCCACCCCAAAATTAATAAAACTTTAAGACTTTTCCAAATCTAACCATCTGCCTGCCTTGCTGATTTTCTCTTCAAACAATGCTTCATTCTAAATCTGTATTCATTTTCACAATAGATGGTGTGGGCAACTTCAGTAGCTTTTTTGGAATAAGGATATTCATCATGCATGATGATGCACCGCCAAGGTGCACCATTCTTACCAAATGGGCCAGGTGGCGTTACAAAGCCACGTAGCAATATGAGGAAATATTTTATTTTTCTTTAAAAGAAATAAATTAAAAATCAGAAAATCTCACAAATGCCAAAAAATAACAGGTACAGCTACGGTCTGCTTTTACATGAAGGGTTAATGGTGCAGGTGGTCTCTCTTGTGACCTCTGGCCTTTTAAATGTTAATCCATTGAAAAAGACAACACTACTTTTGTCCCCAGACAAACCACCTCAAGCTGTGATCCTGTCAAACACACAGGATAAGCCTGTTTTCAGTTAGTCAACATCTAAATGGGGGTTCTCCCTGTGAGATTGAGGATGCCTGGAAGTGGCTGACAGATCAAAAAGCAGCAGAGTCAGGATTTAGCAAATTGGATCTCAGCTGATGAGGTGTGTGATGGAAAAAAGGAATTAAAAAAAAAATTATCTAGCCATTTGTGAAAATTAAGAACTACATTTCAAAAAAATGAGGAATGTGAGCCCTAAGTTCTTGAACAAGCGTTTTACCTGTCTAAAATTCTGCCTGACACTCCATTTTCATCACAGTACTTGTAATATCATATCTTAAAGAGCTATTTAGTGTCCATCCCATCTCTAGCTGTCTAAACAAATAGACAGACAAAAGAATTTTGCTTATTGTGTGACACATTCCTGGCTGATAGGGTAACTGCTTTAGGGATTTCTTACAGTAGGATATTCTTACCTTTGTAATTTTCTCCAGTAGTAAACTGCTTTGTAAATGCTTTGAAGTACTATGTGGGAGAAAAAAATAATAGTATTGCTTTGAAAATAACTCACTGTATAAGATAAAAACTGTTTAGAAACAAAAATGGCTTTCAAGAGTTTTTACTTTTTACAGCTCTAATTACAAGACATTCTTATCTGTTCAGAAGACAGTTTTTCCTCTTAGCCTATGAGTTCCAAAGACCTACTTTTCAACTACAAGAGGGTAGCTCATAGGTACCAGTCAAAATTCTGATATACAATAAAGCCAACTTTTAGAGGAAAAACACCACAATGCATAATTCAATACTATATAGTGATCCATTACTGCAAACATTAACCCAAACATGAATTAACTGATTGCCAAATCAGTATGTATACACTTAGAACGCTATTCGCATTTTCTCAACTCCCTCCAGTGGTTAAATAGGATATATAATGGAGCTTGACTGCCTTCTGCTATAAAAAACAAAACAGATAAAAATTCAGTGTCTAATAAAGAGTGCATTCCAATTTATACCCAAAACTTTAAAGATTTAAAAAAAGAGAATATTTTATTTCTATCAGGATAGAACATCACAAATTCTACAGTGAAACGTTCCCTCTCCTGTCCTACCAAGCACAGTTTACTCAATTGTCTCAATCAAGTTCTGCTTACGCTTACAGTTAATAATGTGATTATACTGATTGACAAAGACAGAGAAGTTAAAAATTGCACTTAGACCTGCAGATGAACAATGGTAGATACTTTTGGGAAACACAAACTCCCTTTTAAAAGCCAGTTTAAGCAAATTATGAAATTAATTAGAAAAACAGCAAGGGATCAATCAAGGGTAAATTTTTAATTAGAGCTCTGGTCATGAAATCAGCTGATTTCATTATGCAATTTCAATGTATAACCTTTACTTTCACATGCCAAAATGAAAAACACTATTAATAATCATGAATATTTGAATTTGAAAAATATTTCTACATATTGTTATTATGTAATGAGTATATCACAACTAGATATCATATAAATGTAAAAACACAGCACTTTCTAGAATGGTATCTTCTTTCAATAAGAATTTTTCAGACTCAGAACTGAGGACTGAATTACTCCTATAAATAATTGCACCTGCTATCACATTCAGCAAAAAGAACTTGAATTAATCTTTTATCAACCCTGCAGCTTTCTCACCAAAAGCAAAGAAAAAGTCCAGCTAAAGAACAGCTAGTTACACGTAATACTGCGCAAGCAAGTTTGTTATGGTTTTAGTCACTATAAAGCATGCATCATTTACCTAAGGCAATATATTATGCCACTTACCCTAAAAGTTGGGTAATAGTGAATACCATATTCTTTGCACGTCTCATAGTTCTCTTCTTCCCCACAATCCAGCACACCAACTCTAATTGCAGCTTCCCAGTCTGAAAACAAAGATATCTTTCAATTTTCAGCAGAAGCAATCATGGATCCCAGCTGATGGATTACCCTGCTTCCCATGGAAATCAACAACAGAACTCCGATAGATTCCAGTGGCATAAAAATCAAGCCCTCGGTCGATTCTCATTTTCTATTCATTTCTATCCTCAAGTGTAACATAATCTACTGATTTTTAAAATAACTAAAACCTCCCTGTTTTTCTTAGCTGCGTCAGTATTTTCAATACACCTAAATAAGAGGAATCCCAACTCACAATGTAGTGCTTCCAGGTCCGAAGAGATTTTATTGAATCCGGGAAGATGAAACAAGGGCCAGACCAACACTTGCAAGATACTGGATTGTATTCCCTAGCTTTTCCCATTAGCTAAACTCATAAAATAAAGCATGCAGAATATATACAACTGAATAAAATAGAATCCAACAGTTACTCATCCACATGGCTGTCAATTACAAAACCATAAATTTGATGCATCTTGTATTATAGCTGTTTTAACAAGGACTCACTATTTACCGAACTTCCAGTTTTCTCAGAGGTCCCCGGAATTGCACACAACCCAAGGCTCACAGATTCTCTACTGAAAGCTGTCTTTATCTCTTAGTACTCTTCAGGAATACATTAGATATACCTCAAAAAATATCTGAGTTTCAACCAGGGTGCTAAATAGTTGAGTTTGAACATCACTGTAAGTTTCCTTTATAAATGTTTCATAGCAATAACCACAAGAGTTCAAGTATTTCTATAAATATGCTTATATAACTTCAATAAAAGCTTTCAACTTATTTATAGCTTTTTCCTTCTCATTTTGCTAGGAACTTATCTTTTTGAGCCATGCTCCGCTGCAGCAATCACTTTAAGGAAGAATCTCTCCAAGAGACTCCTTAGACAGGTACTTTTTAAAGCTAAGCTAAATCAAAACAGCTGTGGGCAGAATTTGAAGGTACACCACGATTCCCAAGTATCAATAAAATTTAAAAAAGCACTAAAATTAAACTTGCTTTTATAGAAAAGAGCATGAAAGCTTCATCAAGTTCAGGATCTGATTGACAGCTGCATGCCTAGCTGCTTTTGAAATTTAGCTTGACCTTTATTTGTCTTTGGAGGAGGATGGGGCAGCTGATGGAGAATTTCAGTTGTGCTGAACATGCCAACAGCTGAACAGGCACCAGGAGTAACTACAAGCATGCTAGAGCAGATGGGCATGTATTCACAGGACCACAAAAGATACAACAGTCTATTGCATCAAATAAAATGCAAAATAAAAAAAAAGTTTGGCTTCTGGGTATCTATCTCATTCAACTTTCCCCATTCCTCCTCCTTTTTCCACCTGTCTTGATCCTCCTCCATACAATGAATAGAAGCACTATGAACCTAATGCAAATAGCCTACTCACAACAATGCAAACCCATTGCTAGCTAAATACTTGGGTTAAAGAGCACCAGCTGGGATGTGTGCTGCTTAGCATTTGCTTCTGCCTAAAAAGGAGCTTTTTCTTTTTAAAGGATGTGAAAGTTGCTGGAGTGCACAGCCTGGACTGTGTAAGTTTACAGTGGCATTGTAGCCTGGATTGTTTTCTTTTAATGCTGATGAATTTTAAATTAGCATCAGTATTTTTTAAATACTAACTCACAAACCATATGAAAGGGTTAGATGAGTGATATCACATTAACCAACACTATTTCTGTTTATGCTAAACAAGTTCCAATGAATGACCTGAATGTGTTGGACAAACTGGAAATCCAGCAGGTTGGTCAAACCTCCCACTTAAGAAATGCTACAGAACACCAACACACCAGTCAGTGCATTATGAGGAAGACACTTCCTTTGCATGAACCTTGTGTATTCCCTCCAGCACGTGTTATTTTCCATTATGAAGTTTCAGTGAAGGAGATAAGAGATGCATCACAAGGTACCTCTCCCCGAGCGCTACTTGAGTGTTATGTATTTTAACACATAGGCTGCTTTCTGAATAATGACAAGGCTTCTGCAGGTCCCCACCAAATGTGTTTAAAGAACAATTGCTAGAAGGAAATCATTATTGCTAGATTTGCAACAGTTGTTCCAAACCCACAGAAGTGGATTACTTCTGCGTATAATTCAAGGGTTGTTGTATATGGGATTTCCAAGGGTTTGTTACTGCTACTCAGAAAATTACTACACATAATTCCAGCCCACAGGCATTTTGGTGGATAGAAGCAATCACCTTTTAAGACAGAAAAAGTACGATTAACTATAATGGCCACTTTGGACACTACCGTAATAAAACTAAATGTATGATTAGGAATGCAGCAGCAATGACTCTAAGCTTAAAGCCTGTTCTGAGAGGAGAGCGAGCAGCAAACTCAAAACGTAAATTACACAAAAGCAACCACCATTCCTATTTTTCAGGAGGATTACCTTCTGCTATGAAGTTTGCAATGAGAGTATTGCCAAGATTTAACAAATGAGAAATGAAATAAAAAATAAGTATATAAGCCCAGGCCTTTTATGGACAAAGTAGTTGCACCAATTTAACTGAACTATACCGAATTAGCAAATACAACCACAGTGATCTAGGAGTTCTCCAATGTAGATTAGTCTGCAGATAGCCATAATATCCTAGCAGATGAGTAAATATTTTCGAAAAATAAATGTTGAGACAGCCTAGGTGACATGTTTTTAGGGGTTTTTTTGGATGAAGCTGCCAACAAAAAGTGTGACTGTTCTCAGTCTCACTGAGTCTACTAAAATCCATTCATTCCAACTTTAAAATGGAAACATTCTGCTGACAAATAACACCAGAAGCCAATTGCATTTGCTGGTAGTGCCAATGTCCACAAACATAAAAATCCACTTTCTATATAAAAGTCTTCATAAAAACTCAATGGATTAATGAGTAGATAGGCCTTTAACTGGTTACAGTAATACAAGTGCGTAACATCATTTGCAGTTATCATGACTGCAGATGAGAAAGAAAACACATATTTAAGGAAGTCATTACAAGTTACAGAAAATATCGCCTACAAAGGTATCATGCTGCTGTAGTAATACATAAACATGTCCCTGCCTTATTTTGACAAAAGCTCTGGTCAGTTCAGGCTCTTCATGTTCTTCACTGCAGTGTTGAAACACCTCCTTGTTCTTTCTTTTCTTCAAAAAAAAGAAAATCTCATACTATTTTGGCCACAAGCAAATCAAATGAGAAGATGAAAGTGTTACACAAATTTATGCAAAGAAAACAGAGAAAAGCTACTGCTTTAATAAACAAAAACCCATGCAACTAAGGAGCATTTGAAATGCTCTGAAATCACTACTGCTCTGTGTTTCTCCGTTTTTGAGTTTCTGCTCATCGGCCAGCAATCCTCAGCGTGACAAGTTCATTAGGACCTATTTTTGGGTAGGCCTCCATTGCCATGTATCTAAACCCATGTATGCCTAATTCTGCACCTACATTTCACGCTAATGGTTAACACTTTTCACATACAAGGCTTCCAGAGAAAAGCCAGAGCTCTTCACTCCCTCTCACACTGAAACCATACGAATGCATTAGAACTGCTGGATTCATCCTGGAAACGTCTCTTGGGTCAAATGCTAAATTAAGAGTAGTTTAAAAGCCTTTAATACCACTATATTAACCATAACATGTCCTACATATTTGATCTCAGGTCCTCTCCTCACCAGAGATATTGAATTTAACCAACACCTGAGGGGCCCGTTTGTTTCCTTACCTTAGATCTACAAATAAAGTAAACCACTTCAGCACTTCCCAAAAAATCTGAGCAGACCAAGACACAGCGATGCAAGTCTCTCTCAGTATAAACCACGGAGAACACCGTTTCTTTTTAAGTCAATATTTGATAAATCTGACTCTCACTTAGCCTGATGTTTGTATTATTTCCTAGCGGTCCTTTTCCCCCATCTAGTCCCTTCACACTATATTGCATTCGCAAGATATAAACCAAACACACGCATGGCCTCTCCAGTACCGCAATATTTATTTCTTCTTTTGCCTTGAAACCAGGCCAGTCTCTTTACAAAACATACAGAAGAAAGATCTTGCCTCACAGAGCTCAGACTAAACATACCTCCTGTGCTTTAGCGCGTCCACTTGCACGCTGCAACGCACACAGACGCGCCTGCGTGTAAATCCGCAGCTGGATTGCTGTGCGCGTGAGAGGTGGTGTTTTATCCCTGGATTCCTATGAAACCTTTAATTTGGAGACTTGCGACTGCCATCCATGCCTCACTTTGTCCCGTGTACCATTCCGGCAAGGTGGCAAGGGCCGTGTCCGCCACCGGAGAAGCACAAGCGGGGCGACACTGCCGCGCTGAGGCACCGCGGCCCACGCAAAGCGCAGCCACTTGTGCGGTG